GTAACTACCTTAGTACCGTAGCTACCTTGGTCCTTCAATTAACTCCACTTCTTCCCAACTATTCTTCTGTCCTCCTTCCCATATCCCTTCCTTCCAAAATGTTCCATCATACTCCCAAAATCTCTACCTTCTTAGTATCCTTCCTACTTATATCTACTACCTACCTATATCCTCCTTCTATCTTTGTTTCTATCTCTCTTCCATACTTCTCCATCCCCCTCTCTGGTACTCTCAAGCCACACGTCTCGTTCTGTCCGGTTCTCCACTCGGGCCACCTCTGTGGAACATTCGCTCTGCCGACGCAGAAATTCCCACCGGCCGGAAGTCCTGCAACCACTCCTCGCTGCTGCTTTCCCAGCTTTCTCCCCTAAAATTTTTCTAAATAATTCTTCCTAAATTTTTATTTTCCCCTGCCAATCTGGCCCTTATCTATATCTTACTTATCCAATCCTCTACTCCTATCCATGTCCATCTTCCATATCTCTCTTACATACTCCCACCTTCCATCCTAGTATCTTTCCCTTACTCATCCAGCTACTAGTACCTATTTATTCCCTTCTCTGTGTATCAAAATATCTCCTTTTCTACCATATCTACCTACACATTCTTCACTTACTCCTCTCCAAAATCTTCACTCATCCCAACAATCATATCTTATATTGCTACTTACTTCTCCCTGTCTAATCCATCTGTAGCATTCCATATCTGCAATAATGCAATCCACACATACTCCATTAGTCTAACTACTACAATGTAATATTGATCTATCCTCATATCTCTTATTTATTTTATATCCACTACTTTTCTCTTATACCACACTTTATATTCCTGTCTCACACTGTCTTGCATACTATAAGCTGAATAGATGCTATCTGGTTTGTGCACAGATCCACTACATTTGACACTCCCTCTCATACCAAAATCAACTGATAAATTAAATCGATCAGATTTTTGTAAAAAGTATAAATACAAATTCTGTACCAACACCCATGCACGGCTTGTCAATCAAAACCGTAAATTATCTGATCAGAGCACTGCCTGTTGGATTTCTTACCCTATTTTCCACAGATGCCTGCTGCACTGCGGTGGGCACTGAACAAAGGTCTGCACTTGATGATTCTTTAGAAGAGCAGTTACAAAGTATCTCCATCTCTAGTGATGAGTCCGACAACACCCCACCCCACTCAACTCCCAAGCCCAGAGTTTTCAAGGACACAACTGGCCGCTTTACTACTTTCATGAATGATTCCAGAATCTCTGAAATAATCAATGAGTACTTTAAAAGAGTAAATCTTGCCCAACACAATGAGTATCCAAGTATTAAACATGAGATTTATGAAGTTGTGGCAATGACACTGTACTGTATTTATAGTCCAACAGGCAGTGTATTTTTAAGTGAATATGAATTTTTAAACGAATATAAACTTTTAAACGAAGACGAATTTTTAAATGAAGATGGTAGCCCCAAAGAGGAAACAATTCAAAAAGCTAAAGCATACTTGTCGAAATCTAAACTCCCAACATTAGAGGTATCTGGCTTTGACTTTGATCATATTCCGATGGAGACATGGAAGTTTCTCACTGATCACTGCGGAACTGAGGAATTGCATATATCAAAAACAGCAATTGATGTTGCTGCACTGAACAGTCCAGATCTCAGTAAGATAACAATGTTGGCTTTGTTTGATGTTGGACTGACAGAGATGCCATGTCTATATAACCTCAAAAGTATTAAGTATCTCTGCTTGAATGATAATCAAATTGGCTATGTCAATCTTCAAAGCTACTTTGATGCTGAGACAGGCAACGGTACTATGCCAAAATTGGAGTATCTAGACCTGTGTGGAAATCCTGTATCAAAGATTGATACAAGAATTAAAGAAGTTTGCTCAAATAAATCCGCAGAAATAGGTCTGGATGGGGTAGGGTTGTGTTCTATACATGGTAACATGAAGGATAAACTGGATGAAGTAGGTATTCAGCTTGTTGAACCAGCTAAGAATAAAGAGAATGCATCGGATGTCAAAAACTGATTAAATTGATCTTTACTAAAAATCTAACTAAAAAAATAAAATACAAAACCACATTTAATGGCTGTTTCATGTTATATATTCGCGACATTCTTTTTCATACTATCTCACCGTATAACACCTGCAATTATTAAGCCAAATCTATCCAAGTCTTTTTGTTGCTTTCTCAATATCCACAAAAAGGTACTATATTCAAAATAACTAGTGTCAACAGTACAAGCGATAAATAAAGATGTATGACTAAGACTTTTTTTACATATGCGACAGATAAATTAAATTTTTGTAGGCAATGTTCAAGAAGTCTTCAGGTGTTTCCTTGTTGTGCTGCCATCAGCTGGGTATTGCCATTACTACAATTTGCATCACATGGTACCACGCCGATTCACAACCTCTATTGTTTGGATACTAGATTACCAGTGCATTGTGTGACTGGTTATGGAAGAGCAATAGTTCAAGAATGAGTAGATGGCAGTATCTCACACTAAATAGTACTTTGCTATTAGTCTATATCACCAGAACGGTTTGTTTGACAGGACTCATTGACATTTCTCAATGAGGCACTGATGCGGAGAAGCATGATTTCAGGATTTACTGGCTGTTGGGAATAGATACTGCCGCAAAGATTGTGCAGACTCTTTTTTGTCTTTGCTATATAACTGAAAAATTTCCCCGTCTCATGTCATCTAGGCACTATAGCTTTGAAGAGCATCCTGCGCATAAAACGTCGATATCCATCCCCTCCCATGGCATTACATCTATTGATAGCAATGTTAAGAGGTTAGTGGGTCTGCAGTGTCTAAATCTCAGAAGCAATAGACTAAGGATATTGCCAATTGAGATAGGAGAGTTGTGGAATCTGCAAGAGCTGGATCTTAGTTGGAACAAGCTGAGGCAGCTACCAGCTGATATAAAAAAGCTGAAAAGCCTACAGCGACTGTATATTAGTTTTAACAAGCTAAGGGCATTGCCCTGTGAGATAGTAGAGCTGTGGAACTTACAGGAGCTGTATGCCAGCTATAACAGACTAGAATCGCTGCCAGTCGAGATAGGAAACCTAAAAAATTTAACTAAGCTATATCTCAGAAGTAATGTGCTGAGGTCATTACCAGATGGGATAGGAGAGCTGATAAGTATACAGGGATTGGATCTCAGTTGGAACAAGCTGAGATCACTATCGGCCGAGATAGGAAAGCTGAAAAGTCTGCAGGAGCTGTATGTTAGCTATAACAGACTAGAATCGCTGCCAGTCGAGATAGGAAACCTGAAAAACTTAACCAAGCTATTTCTCAGAAGTAATGTGCTGAGGTCATTACCAGATGAGATAGAAACCTTGAATAAGCTGCAGCAACTAATCCTCAGTGATAATAAACTAGACTCACTG